AGGGGACCAGAGAGAGAGAGGGAGAGGGAGTGAGCAACAGGCAAGGGGAAAGAGGCTCCCGGGGAGTGCCGCGCCATGGAAGGACCCAGGGAAGGGCGGGGGTCCAGAGCTGGGGAGATGAGTTCAGGCTCATGTCTCATGAAGATGGGTGAAGGAGACTGGTCCTAGAGGCAACAACTTCCACCTTCAGGTTGCTGAGTAGCCCAGCTTGTGACCAAGGCAGGCTGCTGCAAACAAGAACCGCCCTGAACTGGATCTGTGACGGTGGACCACAGAGGCACAGGTAAGACTTACGGCAGGAACACACCCACACACCTGTCATGCCAGTCCAGGTGGTGGAGGCAGGAAGATCTCTAGTTTGAGGCCAGCCTGGGCTACATTGTGAGATTCTGCCTCAAAACAAATGCAGAATCCCAGCTTGAACCCAGATCATTCTCTTTTTTATTTTTATTTTTTTTAAGATTTATTTATTTATTATGTATACAGTGTTCTGCCTGCACACATCCCTGCAGGCCAGAAGAGGGCATCAGATCTCATTATAGATGGTTGTGAGCCACCATGTGGTTGCTGGGAATTGAACTCAGGACCTTTGGAAGTACAACCAGTGCTCTTAACCGCTGAGCCATCTCTCCAGCCCCCAGATCACTCTTTATTCAACTCTCCACTCCAGCGTGATACCAGCTGGGACTACTGACCTCCAGATGGCAGGGTCTCAGATGTCCTCAGGCTGCATGCCCGTCTGTGCCCAGCAAATTGGCCTTGATATTTATTTTGAAAATATGATCTGGTCTGCTTCCATTTTAATAACGGAAGCGACTCTGGAAGTGTTCTATTGAATTTGATTTTGATCTAATCAAAATGCCAAGTTGCTCTGGGCCCACAAAAAGTCTTCCTTAAAATTCGCTCTGCTGTTCTGAGGGCAGCTGTAATGGAAGCCCATCTAGACAGAGTTCCCACAAGCTGCCTCTGTGTTCAGAGAGCAATGAGCTCTTGCAGAGCCCTGCCTTACAGACACACCTGGCAAGTCAAAAGCTTGTCCCAGGCATCGGACTTGACAGGAGCCATGAGCTGCAAACCCCAATCGCCCCAGAGGACGATGCAGATGCCCAGATCGGATGGCAGCATTACTTCCATCCAATGTCACACCTGATATGCTCCTGAGCTAGCTGGTGGCACTGCCAAGCCCAAAAGGCAGGTTTCAAAGGCAGCCTCTCCCCGGAGGGGGCGGGGGGGGGCGGGGCGGTGGCAGAATCTGTATCATGGATGGACCGAGGAAAAAGCAGCAACTTTGGCAGTAGTTAGGAGAATGGAAAGAAAGTTTCTATAACTCTTCATGTTAGATTAGCTGCTCTGGGAGGAAGAGGTGGGAGACAGGCAGAGGTGCACAGGCAGCGAGTGAGCAGTTACTGTATGCTACTCACCGATCTGGGCACTTGGGCTCTAGACACAGACAAGGTGTTTCTCGGAGAGATGCAAGAAATGGGAACCACGTGCATAATACAACGTTAAGTCAGAGAAGGACAAATGCTGGGAAGAAAAGAGCGTGGGATGGGAGAGCACCTGGGAAACGAGTCCATAGACCAAGAGACAAAGTGAGCCACACAGAGCTTTAGAGGGAGAGCACAGGTATCAATTACCAAGGCCTCAAGAAGGGAACGGGTTTAGCATGTGGAACTGCTGCCTCAAGCGGCAAGAGGGAAGGCAGAGGGGAAGGTGACGAGGTGGGGGCCCTGGGGTAGGAGCTGGAGCCACAGTAACCGTGCCAGGCTGGGTTTCATCACAAACCGGATGAAGTGAGGTCTCTGCTCAGCAAAGTTGCCTGGTAATTCTCCCTTCTTACGTCCTCTGGATCAACCCTCGAAGAGCGAGCAGGCAGGAGCTTTGCAGAGCGCACACAGCAAGTGGTTAATAATGTGGCTCCCTGACACCCTCCTCCCCCACGCCTCCTGCCGGCAAGCTGTCCCCGGCAGGATCTGAGCAGCTGCTTCATAAGGAAATATTGCAAAACTCGCCCAGGCGGTTCCAAAATATTTTCTGGGCAGCAACCCCACAGTCGCTAAGAGGCCGGGTTCTGGGGACTGGCTGCTTCCCTAGTCTGTTAGCACTCTACTCTTGCTGGGCCCCCATCCTCAGGACCCAGCCTGACAGTTCCTCCACACTACTGAGCCTGCATGCCCTCTGATGCTACCTGATGATATGATGTTGGATAAGCCCAGTCTTTTGTTTGCTGAGACAGGGTCTCACTCTGCCATCTAGGCTGGCCTTGAACTTAAGACCTTTCTGCCTCGGCCTATGAATACTGGGATGACAGGAATGTTCCACCATGCCTGGCTAGAGCTATTTTTAACCTCCCTAGGATTCCTTACCTGTGTGCCATGAGGTTGAATTGATTTAGTGAGTGAGAGAGATCACATCCTCTCTAGCCCCTGTGCTGTACCCTAGATAAGATGCCATACTCTGATGTCACGGGTGACATCAGCAGGGACCCCACCATGGCTCTTGCCACACTATGCAGTCACAGTATGGCTCTTGCTGTCCTACAGGTGTGAAAACTTGTTAAGGAGGCTGGGCAGCAGTGGTGGCGCACGCCTTTAATCCCAGCACTCAGGAGGCAGAGCCAGGCGGATCTCTGTGAGTTCAGGCCAGCCTGGGCTACAGAGTGAGATCCAGGACAGGCACCAAGACTATACAGAGAAACCCTATCTCAAAAAAAAACAAACCAAAACAAAACAAAACAAAACTTAAGGTCCCACAGTTGGCCTTGCTTGTCTCTGTTTCTGGAGCCCACAGAAGCCCATGAGTAGTGTATAAATGAGTGAATGAATAAATAAGAGAGTAAATGAATGAATGAGTAAAGGAACAAGTGAATGCCTTTCATGCATCGTAGAAACAGCCTCTTCAGGTAAACTGATTCCTTCCTTGCTTTGCCATGGATACCTATCCTCTGGACTTGGTGGTCCCCAGAAGCCCCAGGAGCACAGCACTAACTGCCCTGATGGAGGACACCCAGACAGAGCTGCTTGGGCACTGAGGCTCTGAGATACCAGGGTGGAGAAAGCCTTCCCTACTCACTCCCTGGAGCCCTGGGGCACAGCTCCCTGCACCTACCCTTCTCCACAAATGATCTCGTGGTCCCTCAGTGCTAGCTGTCCAGTTCACCTCCCTGCTAGGGGTCTGTGATCTTCCATCCAGCCTCCACCTCAGGGATGCCCACCCCACAGCCCTCAGACTCAACACCTGCAAAGCCTCGAGTCTTCCGGCCTAACTCTTCCATTGGCAGTCACACATACCTTTGAAGGCTCCTACAGAAGTTCTGTGCAACCCTGAGGCTCCTCCCTCCTTGCCCTTGCTCTAACGTGTGTGATCATGGGGGCACACCTGCCAAGTGCAGCTAGCTAGTTCATGGTTCCACACTCTGGAAGTCCCCTCCAATGACCTGTAGAGCTCTTGTCACGGCCGAGGCACTACCAGGCCTGCATCACTGTCCTGATGTCCTCTGCTAGAACCAATGAGTTGCCTCTTCCTTGAGTCCCATCCCCATTCCAACTTGTGATGTTGGGATCCCCTAAGTAAAGCAGTTCTGTGGATGCAGCTTTATTACTGTCATTATGAGTGTGTGTGTGTGTGTGTATGTGTATGTGTATGAGTATGCATGTGAGTGTGCAAATGTGTGAGTGTGTAAAAGTGTGTGAATATGTGTGTGTATGTGTCTGAGTGTGAATGTGTATGTGTGTGTAAGAGTGTGTGAATGCATGAGTGTGTATGAGTTTGAATGTGTATGTGTGTGAGTGTGTGTGTGTTAAAGAGAGAGAGAGGTGTGTGAGGGTCTGATCCCAGAGAGGCCCAGTCTGAGCCACCCTGACAACGCCATCAAAAAGTTCTCAAATCCTGCTTCTCCGTGGCCACGTTCAGACCACTACCATGTCCTCTAGGAAAAAGGGACTTACCCAGCCTCCAAGGTGGCCTGCCTGCAGTTAGCACCATCCTCTACCTCTGACCCTGAGCTCACTGCAGAGGAATGTGCATGGAGAGAGAGGCAGAGACAAAGGTAGAAAGGTCAACAGAGACCTCCAACAGACGAGGCAGACAGTGGATCCAACAGAAGATAGATAGATGATAGATAATGAGTGGAGAGATAGATGAGAGGTGACAGATACATAGATGGATAGATAGAGAGATAGATGATAGATAATGGATGGAGAGATAGATGAGAGGTGACCCTATAGATGGATGGATGGATGGATGGATGGATGGATGGATGGATGGATGGATGGATAGATAGATAGATAGATAGACAGATAGACAGACAGGCAGGTACATAGATACATAGAGACAGATGATGTGAATGAGGAGAGCATTGAGGGTAGAGGACGCGGGCTTTAGACTCAGCTCCCAGCATTCCTGGCCTTCAAGCATACTGACTCAGGTATAGATGGAAGCCTCCAGAGCATCTTAAAAGATCTAGGAGCTCTATGCTGACTAGCAAGGCTGTGTGACCTGGGGCAAGTTACTGTACCTCTCTGAGGTTTAATTCGCTCATCTGCTAAGCTTCCTGTCAGTGGGAGTTAGGGGTCAGCAGGGTCATGAGATGAGGCCTGAAAAACACCTACGTGGAGATAGAACAGGCAGAGAAAAGTAGCTCACTGAGTTGTAACCGCCGCACCTGCCATCTTCAGCAGCTCCTTGTTTTCTGATGTGAGAAAGGCCCTCAGCCCTGCCTCCCTTTGATGGCTGGAGCTGACACTTGTTCTTACGGCTGCCCTGCATTCTTCCTAATATGTCCATCAGAGTGAGGCAGATGAAGTGAGTGCACTCGAAGCCCCCAAGCAAATCCGTCCCCTCCTTACCTCCGTAGATCCAGCCTAGGACTAGTCTCAAAGGCTATTGGTGAAGTCAGGCCAGGCCTGGAGCTGCTAGCCTCAGCTTAGTCTGTGGTGTGTGTCTAGGGGAGGATGCTTGTGCAGGGGTCCCAGCTCCCTGTCAGCCCAGTAAGCACTTACGGGTGGGGTATCTCTCATGGCGGCAGGCGAGACGGAAGTCTTCCTCTTCACTCACATCCCCCTTCTCAATCCTGGAAAGAAACAAGAAAATCCCACAGCTGGAATGAGAGGGCAGGCAGAGCTGCAGGCATCCAGGGCCTGAGGAGCACAGTGCCCACTTTCAACACAGCTTTCCCCCTGTGTCCACAAACCTTTACCCAGGCCCTGAGATGATGGGTACCACTTTCCCATTTATGGATAAGAAACTGAGGCATTTGGGGGCAACTGAGACACAAAGCAATTGGTGAACACCTACATGGCCAGGGCGCGCGCGCACGCACGCACGCGCACACACACACACACACACACACACAGGGGAGAGGTAAGGGGGAAGGAGGGAGTGAGGGAGGAAGGGGGCACACCACACACATACATAAATAAAATAAAGTCCTGACAGTAGGATGGTTGTGTCAGCCCCTGGCTGAGCCCAGGGGGTCTCAACTTGGCTATTGCTGGAAGTTACCCACTAGGAGTTTTAAGCCCCACGTGGGCTAGCCTCACACTCTCTCCCTGTTTCCTCCCTCACGCCTTCCTTTCTCCTACAGTGCCAGGTCCTGGGCTTTAGTTCTTGAAACAACTACAGAGGCACATTCATGGTTGCTGTTGTGAAGATAGCAGGGACCACAGTGTGGGTGGCTGCTGTCACTAATACAGCAACGACTACCACTGCACCCAGCAAACACATAAGGAAAACGAGGTCACACACACAGGGTCACACTGCCTCGTCACCGATGAACTGAGCTCCACAGTTACCCACACCCCAGTGTCCCAGGTCTCCAGATGTCCAAAGCCTCTCTTGGCCCCTGTGTTTTCCTGCTGGAAGTAGACACTCAGCCCCAGAAGACAGCAGAAGTGTGGTCAAGCCCTCACCCAGACCCACTTCCCGGCTTAACCCTCTCCTTTAAGGTGCAAACTCTGCAGCAGCCCTGCAAAGCCTGCAGGTGTGGGACTTCACTGGAGAATCTTCCAGAACTGACTCTGTGAGAGGAAACCAGCTCTTGATAGAATGGCCACACGGGAGGTTGAGGCAGAGAGATCATGAGTTTGAAAGCAAGACACTGTCTCAACAAAGGTTAAGAGAGGGAAAAAGCAAGGTAGAAAACCATGGTGCTGAGGCCAGCAGGCTAGGCCTTGGCTCCCAGGCTGTCATGTCAAGTGTCACCTCAGCCTCCAAGCCTCCGCTGTCCCCACACAGTGGCTTCCAACCCTGGCTGCCTCTGGCCACAACACACTCCCCCCTTCTGCCTCCCGCAAAGGGACATCAAGCTCTTGTTTGAAAACAACTGTAAATGTCATGAGGTGACCCATCTTTGATGTGAGTAGAAATTTCCTGGGAAATACATTATTTTGTGTTCACCTTTTAAAGGATGGCGGGAGCTACCTCAAGAGACCCAGACGGCGCTTTGAAGAACTGACAGGGCCTTGGTGGAACCTGCACTCTGATGGGCGGCAGGTGGGACCGGACACCTTGGATGTGACGCATGCACCCTCCTGGGCCTCAGGTTCTCCTGAGTTGTGGCTCCAGCCTGTTCTGGTTCCTCTCTGATCCCTCATCCCATGAGCAGGCGTATACTACCTGTTGCTTAAGGCTGTGGCCACCACTGGACAAATTCATCAATCGGTGCAGAACTGCCATCACTGCTCACCCTCATAATTGCCATAGTCCCATCGGCAGCAGCAAGCTCAGTGTCATTGTGAAGCTCCAGGAACAGAGAGGTACTCCTTTGCTACATCGGCCCGTGCACTCCCCTTCCATCCCAGTGAGCTCTCTTGGTTGCCTCAAGACTCTTGGGTTTGTTTGTTTGCTTTGTTGTGAGACAAGATCTCATTATGTAGCCTGGTGTTGAACTTCAGGTCCTCCTGCCTTGGTCCTCCTGAGTGCTGGGATTTTGTGCAGAAGACTTGGACTTGTCAAGGCGCTGGTCCAGGGTCGATGGACCCACAGGCGGTTGCAGCACAGCCTCCCGACCCAGAAGCCACCGAGTTGCTCTACCTGGGCCCGAGGGCAGTCATAGCCGAAGCGGAGAGCAGTACTCCAAAAGTGAAAGAGCCACAGGGGAGGGTGGCCCCACAGAGGTGCCCTGAACACCCACATTTGGCTCTCTGAAAGGAAGAAGAGCCTGGAGCACAGAGGACCTCTGTGGGCTGAGTCTTCTCATGTGGCTAGATGGGCGGGGACCCATCATCAGTTTGAACATGAGAACTCCCTCACGCTCTCTATTGCACAATGTCCCATCAGTGCCACCCTCAAAGCCAGCTTCCCTTCCCTGACCCTAGACCAGCTGTTTCCAGACACTGCCTCCATCTGACTCTCCATGCGTCCTGAACTTTCTGTGAGAAAGGCTTCTTTCCTCCCCATTCTCAGTACGCCAGGAACTTTTATGGAGTCACCCCTGCGCATGCACACCAGATGGGCTTGAACTTCCCGGCTACGTCAGCTGGAAGAGCCTGCTCTGGCCGCCATTTCTGTGCGGTCACTCTGAAGGTATCAGCAGACAGCACTGGTCTACAGGCTACACTTTGAGTAGCTCCCGCCTGTCTGCTGGCCCTTGCTGGCCACATCACCTTCTAGGACCCTGAGAGTGACTATCTGCTCTGTTTCGCAGCCCCATGTTTCCCAAATTTAAAGGGCACAGATGTCAACTGAAGACATGATTATGCAGATTCTGAGAGGCCGGTCTTGGGTGTAGGGCTAGATTATGCTTTTCTCACAGGCTCCATGGCAGCCCATACTGTGGGTCACAGATTCCAGTTGGGTCTCAGAACATCTGCTAAGCCTGGGTCTCCCAGCTTTCCCATAGTGTAGGACCTGCAGAAGGGACGTTGTGGTGTGGTGCAGGACTCTCCCCAATACTTTCTCTCCCCAGCTGGTTGGTCCTAGAAGAAGCTCAAGGGTTCAGGAAGTGGCCATTTCTTCCAGATGTTGCTTCCGGATGTTCTTCGCACCCTTCCTCCATTGTTTCCCACCCTAAGGACTACCCTGTGCTCTATCTTCCCTTCCAATGCTGCTGTGGCTCAGCAGTGTCAATGACGTCATCCTTGGAGTGGTTCGAGGGTGTGGCGGTCTCCTGGGCATCATCCCTAAATCCTGGGGTCACACTCCTCCCAGGAATAGCAATTTCAGAGGACCCCGCCTGGAGCAGTGCCCTGCAAGGAGTCCCTGGGAAGTCCCATCAAAGCCTCCTCAAAGATAGATGGGAAGACAGAGCCGAGACTCAGAAGTCACAGATCCGGGAGACAGCCTCAGAGGACAAAGAACACATTGATTTTTAATGATCAATTTAGAAAGGAATGAAGGATAGAATTAAAAGGAATAAAAGAAATAAATGACCCATAGATAGTAAATTAAGATTCCGTAACATTCCACCAAAAGGGCAGTTGCAAGAAAGGGGGAAGTAGATGGGTTTTAAAAAGATGTCATTTTCTACTCCCCGTCCCCCTTTTCTTTTGCATGATAGCATCATTTGGAATATAACAGGAAAGAGCAGTTCCCCACAGTGTTCACGATCTGGCCTGGTCTTTAGGGGAGGTTAAATTTGACTCCGTTTCTGCAAAGAGGCCCGCAGACACCTTGTGAATGGCAAAAGTAGAAATCACTCCCTGGAAATACACGAAGTCTCCAGCATTAGTCCCATGGGAACACCAATCCTCCACCCCACTGTTGAAGTCTCCACAGGCTTCCTCCCCTCACAAGGCCCCAAGGACAGTGTGATAACCTCTTGATTGTAGCAGAAGACTCTTCCACCATCCTGAGGCGTGCCCCCACGGGGAATGGGCACAGCGGGCAGTCATCAAGCCAGGGTGCCTGTGGTATGATCACGTGCTCCTGCTTGAATGTCCAGAGTGCAAGCAGAACAGAGACACTGGAGGAGGAAAAGAATCAGGCAGAACCCATGGGACATTCCAATGGTGTCCTGGGGACCCCGGAAGTCTCACTAGTGCTCTGGATGGAAAGGTGGGTCCGTTATCCTGATCACATCAGAGTGCTGCGGAGCAATGGCTGCTGGGAGAATGGATTCCAGAGTCAAAAACTGGCCAGGAACAGGTGAAGGGGTTCCTGGATTCACCCAGGTGAGTCTGAGGTGGGAGGAGTGAACTACAGCTATTCCCGACTCATCTACCAAGGCACCCTGAGACCCCACTGGGTCCTGAAGCCCAGGGCTGTGCCAAATCCTATACAATAGACTGTTTTCCCTCTGTACACACCCATGAAAAAAGTTAATTCATAAATCAGGTACAGTGAGAGATTAACAATAAGATCTGGTAATAAAACATTAAAAACTTCTATTATTTCAAGATACAATCTCACTACATAGCCCAGGCTAACCCTGAACTCACAATCTTCCTGTCCCAAGTGTTGAGATTATAAGTTTGTGCCTAGCTAAAATAAAAACACTTAGAACAACAAGAAGTAAGACATAAAGAAAAGCTATTTAAAACTTGGTCCAGGTCTTTAATTCCAGCACTCAGGAGGTAGAGGCAGGTGGATCTCTGTGTGTCCAAGCTAGTCTGGTCTATATACAGAGTTCCAGGCTGCAAGGTGAGATGCTGGCAGGGGGTATTTAAAACTTATGGTTTGCTGGATTCTGTCTCTTCCCATGTGTTTCTATGGGTCCCTGAAGCTGCAGAAGGGACATGTAGTTAAGGGAGGCTCTGGTGGTTTAGTCACCAGCAAATGGAACTGTCTGAGAAGGAGCCGAAGGATTAGAAGATGTGGCCTTGTTGGAGGAAGTTGTCACTGGGGGTGGGATCGGAGGTTTTAAAAGGCTGACACCAGGTGCAGTGTCTCTCTGTCTGCTGCCTGTGGCTCAGGATGTGGCTCTGGGTCACTGCTCTAGTGCCATGCTCCTCCCGTGCTCCCGGCCATGACAGTGATGGACTAAGCCTGAGACTGTAAGCAAGCCCCAATGAAATGCTTTCTTTTATAAGCGTTGTCTTGGTCAATGGTGTCTCTTCACAGCAGTAGAAAGAGCAGTGACTAAGAGGCCTAGTGTGGGGAGAATTCACTGTCTTGGGGTGAAGAAGAGCTATG